ATTTTCTAAAAGTTGCCAGTTGTGGCCTTCTGTGTGCCTTCTGCTCTGGTATATAAAGAAACTTCACTGGTGAGAGTTGAGGGGTGCACTAGTTTTCTCTCGACCCCCTGTTCCATTATGTTTTATGGGCCATAGATATAGAGGTTCCACTGTAGATGTGTCACCTAGGACTAGGCATCTCTCAGACATATTTTCTGTGTGTGAACAGTTGTGCAACTCTGCAGTAGCCTCCATCTGTTGCAAAGAGAAGCTTCTTTGATGAGTGATGCACCGTATACTTGTCTATAAATATAAAAATCCATATGTAGCATATGGTAAGAAATTTCATTTTTCTAGAGATATGACAGACATAGGGTTTTCTCTAGGATCTTTGATCTCTCCACCCATGTGTATTTGGCTGTGTTTACAATGCCACTCATGAGTTCACTCCCATTAAGAGGGTTTTAAGTCCAATTAGATAGCTGTTGATTACTGCCCAGATAACTGTGCCACTTCTGCATCAATAGAGGTAGTTTGCTGTGCCAGTCGTTATGATTATTAGGCTTTAGGGCTGGGTTGGATCATTGATTGATTTTTTTATACTGTAGCAGCTTGCATAGTATTCTCAAGAACTATGAGTGCAAAACTTCAGGTAGAAGAATTCCAAATCAGTTCCTGCTACATTGCTCCAAAGCCTGTGTCCTAAATTCTTAAATATGTCCTCTCTTCAGCAGTAGAGCCTTCTCTTTGAGTTCTGGAAGATAAACAAGAGCTCTGGCAATAGTCTGTGTTATTTTTTGAGTTTCTTGGACTACTCTGACCAACACTCAAAGGGAGGTCTCTCCTGTCTGGCACTGCGCTCCTTGCCATACAGCCCCCAGGTATACACATGCATCAATGTTCAGATACCATGTATGCACTTTTCAGTGGTTTCTTGATCCAACACATTTCCCTCTGGCTTCCCTAGCCCCACAAGCTCTAGTCATCTCACTTCTCCCCGGCTCCTCATCCAACCTCCTTCCTCCACAGTCCAGGCACCACCATTATCCCCACTCTCCCCCCAATAGCACCACCCTCCCACCATCCTCCCTCTCTCGATTTCCCTCCTCCACCACCACTACCATGGACACTACATTTCCCTTCCTCCTCCCCTCCTACCCCAGCACTCCCATTTTCCACAATCCCCAACATCTGTCCCTTACTATCCATTTCTTTTGGGCTCTTTCTTTCCTTTTCATATTTTCTTGACTGCTAGTGTTACATCAGGATACATACTTATATATAAGGGATTGGTGCTACAATCTACAAATAAGGAAAACTGTCACTTGCTTTCTCAGTTTGTGTTACTTAGCTTGGTATAACAATCTCTAGTTCCATTTATTTGCTTGCAAATTTCATAATTTCATCTTTTCTTATTGCTGAGTGGAACTCCATTGTGTAAATGTACCACATTTGCATCACTATTCATCAGTAGAGGGACATTTAAGTTGTGTCCATCTTAGTTATTGTGAAAAGAGCAGCAACAGATACAGATGTACAGGTATCTCCACAGTAGGATGAGTTCTATGGGTACATGCCAAGGAGTAGTATGACCATATCATATCATATATTCATTTTTAGTTTTTTGAGAGCTCTCCACAGTGCTTTCCATAGTGGTTACACGAATTTGCATTTCCACCAGCAGTAAATGAGTGGTCTGCTTTCTCTACATCCTCATCAGCATTTAGTGTCTTTTGTTGTCTTGATCTTTTCCAGTCTGACTGGAGTAAGATGGAACTTTAAAGTGTTTTTTGCCTGCATGTCTCTAATTACTAATGATATTGAGCACTTTTTTAAGGTGTTTCTTAGCCATTTTTATTTCTTCTTTTGAAAACCTCTTTTCGGGTCTATAGCCAATCTTTTTATTGGGTCATCATATTCTTTTATCATGTTTATGATTGTTCTTTTAAATTCTGGGTCCTGGGGTCCCTCTAGGTAGTTCTCATTGTAGAACAATTCTATTGGACTTCTGGGCATTGGTGGGAACCTATTATATTGTTATTTGTATTTTTTCATTGTGGTCTGGGCATATGGATTTCTTTTGTTGCTTGTCTGTCTGATATGAAACTCAAGCCTTCCTTTTTTAATTGATGTTTAATTCTGTTTATATTGTTGATATAGTTTGGTTGTTTTCTGATCCAGTATAAATAGTGTTTTTGGTCTGGCTTCTTGATTTATTATTGGAGGGACTGTGCAGATACAGTCTGGCTACTTATTAGGTCTCGAAGAGGGCAAAGGTGCCTAGGCCCAAGTCAAATTAATGAGTGTAAACTTGGCTGTTTCTAATTGACTGAGCAAAGAATGTGTGCGCCACGGACTCAAGTGACTGGGGCTGGTCTCAAAGCAGAGGAATGGTGGCCCAGCTTGACGGGATCTGGCTATTTCACCTGGCTAGTCAGGTGCTCTCCAGCAGCCTCAGTGTGCTTAGTCTGCTTTCTTTATTCTCCCCGATATGGAGACGTTTTCCAAAGGCTCCTTTTAATTAGGGAGGAGGTGAGAGGAAGAGACTTATATAAAGTTGTGGCAAGTGTGAAACACTTGTATTGAATACACATTTGGTAATTGCCACCTCTAATTTAAACTCACGTAGGACTTCCAGAGTTGTATAGTTAGAAAGGTCATCATTGAACCAGGACAAAAATGAATTTTTAAATTTCTCCAAAGCTCTTGTTATATATTGAGCTGTTTGTTTGCACCTGCACATGAAGTCTAATCTCATCAGAGAAGAAATAGATGATACAGGACTCTTTCAAAAACATAACATTATAATACATTATAATTGTAACTTTAGCTGAGAGACTAACATATTCTTATCTGCCTGTAAATGATGACTGTCTCCTATGTGTTAGGATAAATGACAGCTTGCAGGCTTAATGTTATCACTGGTTATGTAAATTGTCTAGGTTTTGTTTAATAAGTATGGTGTAATCATTTCTATTAAAATATTGAATAAGTTGCTTCATCATCAATCAAATAATCAGTTCTGTTACCTTTCATTCTTGAGTATAGTGGAAGTTTTATGTTTCTGTACACACTCTGCTATGCAAAACTCTGTTAATGTTTCTTGCCAGCCCCCCTGGTCCCAGTGTGCATCCACCGCTGACTAAGTATCAGGCTTGTCAAGGTTAATCATCTCCCTTTGTTTCTCACTCCTGGGGTCCCTCTGTGCAAACATGTACCTGTCTCCAGTATCCTTATTATGAATCCTTTATCCCAGTTTCTTTTTACTAAACCCACTAACAATATTTCAGACACCTTTATTATCTTTTTCCTTCTATATTATGTTCCCTATTTTCCTGGTCTAGGCTTCACCACTGCTCTGACTACAGTTACCTTTGTCCTCCTGCCTAGTTTCTCTTTAATAATCATGCTTCCTCCAGTTTATAGCATGTGGCTGAAAGGGTCTTCCAATAATAAAGATTTATTACTATCACTTCCTTCCCAGTCAAAGGTACAGTCCAAATCTCTTCTGTGGTGTTCCAGATTGTGTTCCCTCTCCCAGCTTCTTCCTCACATACCCTTCCATGGAACCATGGATCCGTACACCAGCCTGAGTCTTCCGAGCTTTACACAATGTTCATCTTTGTGACAAAGTTGAAGAGCACCATTATTTTTCATAGCAGATAGCTCTCCTATACCACTTTCAAACTATATGAGTAAATCACTAGTTTCTGTCCCTCATCTACATTCTTCCTCATGTGTCTGACACTTGATCACTGTATTTTGATGTGCTGTGTTAAAAAGCCTGTTTTCTCAAAGAAACATGAATTTGTAAAACAGGATATTCCTGACTTATTTTTCCAAATCAGTAGAAGTATTTTATTGTGCCAAAAGAGTTTCTATAATCCAGGGTCATGTTTCTGGAATTGGATAACTTCTAAAGCCAATTACAGAATGTGACATGTATCAGATGTATTCAGTTTTCTTGAAGAAATGCTCCCTATATTAAAGAATAAGTTCCCAGAAGACCATTGGAAGACTGGATCTCTGGATTCTATGTACTTGATTTTCATCTTATTAGCTCAACTAAAAAAGCACAGTATATTAGCTACTTTTTGTTGCTGTGATGGAAACACTGACCAAAGCAATTTATAGAAGGAAGAGTTTATTTGAACTTAAGTTTCCAGAGGAATTATAGTCTGTCACAGCAGGGAGGCATGGTGGCCAGAGGTGGCTGGAGCAGGAACGGAAGCTAGGCTCAACATCTTCCAGCAGGCACAGGAAGCAAGAGGGCAACTGGAGATCCAGCAAGGCTTAAGAACTCTCTAAGCCCACCCCCAGTGATATCCTTCCTCCAGCGTGGCTGCACCTTCTAAGACCTCCCCAAACAGCTCTACCAACTGGGGACAAAAGGTCCAAATACTTGAAGCCTATAGGGGACATACTCATTCAAACCACCACACACAGTATTTTGTTATGTTGTTTGTTATCTTTAGCTGGGCTTTGTTCTCTGTTAGTTTTCTGAAGCTGGGTCTTGCTTCATAGGCATGACTGGTCTAGAATTTAATATATAAATCATAATGACCTCAAAGTTACTGCTATCCTCTGCCTCTGCCTCTTAATAGTACAGTCTTGAAGAGGTCAGTGTCTTAAGATTCGGCCCTCCATGGGGCAGTTAAATATCTCATTTGAATGTCAGTAATCTGATCTAGTTGCTTAGTAATTGGCTTTGGCTCCAAGGGAAATGAAGAAATTAGAAATTAAACTTAATGCAAGTTAGTCTGTTACTAGACCAAATACGTCCAAAGGTTCTTATTGATGTCAAAAGCATGATTTTATGGCTTGCTATGATATAACACCTGTGTCCAACACCCATGTGCATGCACACTGGTATGCTAGATGTGAGAAGCCCTCTGCAGTGCGGAGGTGGCAGAAGCACCAGCTTTGCAGTAAGAGCAGTAATGGCGCATCCACAGAACTTCCGGTTTTCTAGGCTCTCAGCCTTCTGAGTACCCACTTCCTTTTCCACATTTGTCTTGCAGGTGAGACGATGCGGATTGCCTCCTCTGAGTTTGCTGATGACCCATGCTCTTCCGTGAAGCGGGGAACCATGGTGCGGGCAGCACGGGCTCTGCTATCAGCTGTAACGCGTTTACTCATCCTGGCAGACATGGCGGATGTCATGAGACTTTTATCTCATCTGAAAATTGTACGTATGTAGATGTCATGAGAACCTCCTCTCTGTGGGACATGTTGACCCTGTTCAGGACTGCTCTGAACCGCTGCTGGGCATCTATCTTTCTTTGCTCATCTGTAACTTAGCTACTCACATTTACAGAGCACCTTCAGATTGTTTTAATACCACAATTATGTTCCACAATGTATTCAACAAGCTAAGACTCTACTGAGTCATTTCCTTCCCTTAAAATACAGAGTTGGGCCGGGAGTGGTGGTGCATACCTTTAATTCCAGCACTCGGGAGGTAGAGGCAGGCGGATGTCTGTGAGTTCAAGACCAGCCTGGTCTACATAGTGAGTTCCAGGACAGCTGCGGCTACAGGGAGACCCTGTCTCAAAAAGACCAAAAAAAAAAAAGAAAATACAGAGTTGGGATTCCCCCCGCCCCTCCCCTTTACCTTCTGGAGTATATCACCATGACATTCTTTTAGACTTTGAACCATAAGAACTCCGTGCATCTGCCTTTGCCCTCCCTCCAGATTTCGAGCAACATCAGCGTATATGCTAATTTATGTGTTAATATATGTATTTGTACCAATGTTAGCCTGGCAGTAACACAGTGAACATCCACATCTTGTGTGACTGTAGTCAGTCTTTTTCCACCAATCACCTAGAATAAGTCTGCGAATATGTGTTACAACAATCCATAGAACATAGGTACCTTCCTTGTTATATTTTTAATTTTTAATTATTTTGTTTTCTGGTGTAAGCAAACTCATCCTGGTCACAGATTTTAAGGGATCAGACAGCAAGGCAACTTCTTTAGGCCGTGACCACTGGTCCTTCCACTGTTGTAGTAGTTGCTGAATAGAATTTGCTTGTAACTCTGCTGTTCAAAATTTTCAACCAAATGAAGGAGCAAAATTTCTCTGCCCAGAGAATTGCTATCCTGTGTTCTCAGATGACAGTTCTTAGACAACTGGCACCAGCACTGGACTTACTTCTTTAGATGATGAGATATAAGCCACAGGGTTTCCCTTTTATGGAACCGTATGATGCTTGTTTTAGCCTCCTCACACCTGGGAATCACACTGCCTTATTATGGTTCCTACCTACAGGACCTCAATGTTTTATATTATTTTTCAGTGAAATGAAACAAGTTGTGGTAGGGGCCAAGTGACCTGAGATGAATAAGGAAAACTGAGGGCTAGAGAAATGGCTCCGTGGTTAAGAGCACTGGCTGGTATTGAAGAGGACCTGGGTTTAGTTCTCAGCACCCACATGGTACCTAACAACCATCCATAACTATAGCTCTAGGGGGTCCACCTGTGTTGTGTAATGCCCCTGGAGGTCAGAAGAGATACTCTGGAACTGAAGTTGCCAATGGTTGTTAATTGTGTGGGTGCTGGGAACTGAACCAGGGTCTGGTGCTGAGAACTGAACCTGGGTCTGGTGCTGGGAACTGAACCCCTGTCCTCTGCAATCGCAGACCATGCTCTTAACCATTGAGCCATCTCTTCAACCCTAATGAAATATTTTTTTTTAAAAAAAAGATTTCTTAACACAATAATGAAAGCTGTTCTCTTCACTGTTCTCAGCTTTGTTCAGTTGAAGGGACCGAGTCAGTTCTTAAATCCTAAGTGTTATCTGTCAAGAAATCTTGTGCAGAATAATTTCCAGTTTATGCACAAACTCCACAATATTTTTGAAAAATTTCAAATTCAAGACTTCCATCCTGAGCTCTAAGGCCATATACCCTTAAAACAGAACACAACTTTTAATGATTTCCAAGCAAGTCCCTGAGAACACAAAACAGCCTGCTTGGGGTTTTTGCTGTTGGAATTTTCCAAAGAGTATATCCTCAAAACTAGGAAAGCTTCCTACAAACTGCATGAGGTATGCAAATTCAAGGAGAGGTTTTGTCCATTTCACATGATTTAGAGATGCAACTCATTATTAGGCTTTGGATACTGTATTCAGAATAACTGGGTTTAATCCAAGTATGCCTTCTACTTGTGAACTGGGTGGTAACCAGCACATAACCAACCTCCTTATGTGTAAGATGCCTCATCTGTTTAACTGTGACTAGTGTACCCAAGGTTAGCAATATGCCTTTCTGGGCCACATATACCCACACTTATTCTAGGTGCTTGGTGCCACAAGACTAACTGTAGTCATAAAGGAAGTGGTCAGATTATTGTTCTATTGCCAGAACTATGATAGGCTCAAGTACATACATTTCCCATGGAGAAATTCCTGAGAAGCACTTGCCACAGAGTCTGGCAGATAGGTAGATGGTCCCTACCCATGGGTGGTGAGGTCCCTGAAGCCCTTGTAGATTGCAGTGCTGGCTGTCACTCCTCTGGGTCCATGTATTTATAGGGATATTAAATGCTACAAATAATTCTGTACTCAACTATGACAAAGGATAGATTTTATAATTTTTCACCTCATACCTTTACTCTCTAAAGGCAGCATTTTAAGAAAATATGTCTACAAGATGGCAGTATTCCTTAACGTTAGCAGGGGGAAATAGGGCTGGACCCCCAGAAATTGAGGTATCCCATATGTCATTGTTGACAGTGCTATTCCTTGGAGAGTGATAACAGGCAGAATATTCTCCCTGAACTGCCCATATAAGAAAAGTGTTCTTTGAATTTGCATCTGTGTGCTAGTGCTGGGGCTCAGTGCGTAGACTACTTGCCTTTTATGCACAAAACCCTGGGCTTAATACCCAGTACCATATAAACCTGGCATGGTGACACATACTTGTTATCATCACAGTACTCAGGAGATGAAGCAGGAAGATCAGAAGTTCAAGGGCATTCTCACCTACATAGTGACTGAAGCCAGCCTGGAATTCTTGAGACGCTGTTTCTAAATAAATAAGTAATAATAAATAAACAATAAATAAATCCAGGTCTGTGACACTATCCATGATACCAGCTCCTACCTGTGATCCTGTGTGCTGCTTTTAGCCTGCTCTTTTGAACAGTGTTGTCAGCTCCTCTCTGTACAGCATGTTATAAAGTCAATTGCATTCTATCTTTCACGTAGCAGATTAAGGAAAACTTTTAAAAAAGAGCACAAAATCATGCAAAGGTCAATCCAGCAATATTAAGTACTCTGTCAGACTGTCAGTGGTAGCATTAAAAATGATTATTGACTAAGTAACATATTTGTTCTACTTAGAGCTCAGAACTGGAGTAAACAGAGGTGGTAGAATGATGCTATCTTGTGGAATTAAAGAGGAACTACAGTCTTTGGTGCTGGTACTGACATACATGCCACAGCCTGTGTTGCATTTTGGGTTCAGTTCAGTCCTGATTTGATTGAATGGAACTATCTTTTCATACCCCCACAAAAATAAAGCGTATGCTGACAAAAGTCAATATTTATGAACATTGTGCTTAATTTTGTTGTGTAACATGCTAGTAAAAAGCACAACCTCTTGAAGTATTGCAAACATCTGCTTATTTTACAATTTAAGATTAAGAACATGGGATATTAGTAGTTGATGGCTGCTGAGGAAGAAGAGTCAATTTTCTTTAGGTGAGTCCCCTGGTAGGCAGCCCATGTTCTAGCTGATGGCTGCACACCCATGCACACAGAGCCAGCACTAATTAGATTCAGTGGGTTAAAAAAACAGTACATAAAGTTTGAAGGGGAATGTGGTGAGGGAGGTCTGAGAGGAGTTGGAGGAGGCAGTTTGGGTTGGATATGATAAAAATACATTTTAAACATGTATGAATTTCCCAAAGAATAAATACAAATGTATTTAAAAACCAAAGCAAAACCATATGCACAAAACGTGTACAGCATCAATTCAACCAAAATTCCAGCATGGGTCAGGGAGGGGCTCATGAACCAAGGAGCTGCTGTCAATTGATGACTGCTGGGAAGGTAGAGTTAGATTTATTCAAGGATGCCATTGCTCCAGTTACACTACACTCATGCACACTAAGTGAACTCTGTGTGTTTAATAAAAAAGCACACAAATTTGGGAAGACATGGTGGTGGGAGGCATATAGGAGAGAAATTGGAGGGGAGGGAAAGGGATGTGAATTTCATCAAAACACATTATGTGCCTGTATGAAATCATCATGCATCACCATGAATATCTTTTTCAAAGATGTTTGCAAATAAACAAGTTTCTTAGTTATGGATAATAGGACATAGATGAGAAAAAAGAGTAGCAGGTGCTGTATAGTTGATTTTCTTGTTGCTATAACAAAATATCTGGCAGGTTAGCTACTTAAGAAAGAAAGGATTTATTTTGGCTCACAGCTTGAGATGATACAGTCTATCACGGAAGGGACATCATGGCAGCAGATTGCTGCATGGTAACATGTGTATGCAGCTACACTTGAGTATCCTCACCTACATCTTGGAACATGAAGCATAAAACAGATCAGAGCTGGAAACAAGTTGTGACACCTCAACTCCATCCCCAGAGATCAACCTATTCCAATGAGACTCCACCTCCTGAAAGTTCTACAACCTTTCAAGGCACTGTAGATACCTAGGGACCAAGTAGTGAAACACATGAGTCTATGGGGGACATTACACATTCAAATCGCAATAGGGTTTTCTAATCAGAATAAAATAGGGATTCTGACTTTTTTTGTTGGTTCAGAATTGAAGAACACCTACAACTTTCTGCCATTTTACTTGCTACCTGGATATTTTAGCTTTAATCATTACACATTAATTTTAGGCCATATAACAAAATTTGTTGGTGTTCTTTACAGATACTAATTTTTCTCATATCTTAGTAACTTACAGGAACTCAGCAGAAACTTATTTGTGTTCTTCTGTCAATATAGTTCACTAAGTAGATGAAAGATAATCAATTTATTTTTCTAAAACACCTAGCATCATTCTGTGCTTTATAGTCCAATATGTAATTATTAGCAAATTGAGCAAATGCCAGTTAGCCTCTAAAAGTGAGTAATGAGTAATGAGTTTGGGCAGTACATAAGTTTTTTATTCTTTTGCCTCATTCTTAGAGTTGGAAACTGAAGTTTATGTC